TAAACAACATTTGTCTGGGCACTACATCCAAATTCTTCACCAAATTTGAATTAAGAATCAAATACAGAAAATAAACAATATGATAAAAATAAGAAAAACTAAAAAGAGAATTAAAATGAGTGAGTGTGTCAGCACCTTTTCGACACCGCCATCTTTGTCGATTTTAAGTTATTTTTTGGCATTGACAAATTCCCTAAAAATTTACAGATATGTAGTTTACATAATCAATAACTCATTATTTTTTTTCAAAAAATAATAATTTTTTTTAGGCCCCGAAATAAAGTGAAAACAAAAAGTTAAAAGTGAAAAAAACAAAATAGTGAGTGGGCGAGCATGTTTTGACACCCCCATCTTTGACGATTTTTAATGTTTTTTTGGCTTAGCAGAATGGCTTCAAAATTGATAGCGTGTAGGTTACATCATAGAGAACTGATAAAAAAAAATTGAGAAAAAAAAACGTAGTTTTAAGCCCCGAATTGTTTTTTGGCAGGGGCCGAACCTGGATGTGTTTAGCCCCTGAACGGGACCCCGAACGGCCGAACGTTCGGGGGCCAGCCCGGGGGCCCCCGAACGTTCGGTCAGGTTACCCTGGTTCGCGGTTTATTTTGTTTGACTTTGTTCTCTTGATCGACTAAGTGGTTCGTGTGTCAGGTACGTCATTGTCCGCAAATAGGAAGGGGGACCAGGCTTTACAAATTTCTTTTGTAGTTCAACTGAGTACTAGGCTTTGAACTTTCGTCGTTCGAGTGGATCAGGTTTTGTGATTTTCCTTCGTAATCATTTTGGTTTCGCACTCTGGTCGCTTTTTTGGCTAGTCGTCGTTGCTCGGGTGGATCAGGTTTTACGATTTTCCTTCATAACCTTTGTGGTTTCGTACTCTGGTCGCTTTTTGGCTAGTCGTCGCTGCTCTGCTAGGTACGATGTTTATCTTGTTGGTTTTCGAACCATGGCTTCTTGAACATTTTTTCTTAGGGCTCGAACCCGTTATCTACTATGATGTCTCCGTAGGTACCGGGTTGTAGTTTTAGCTTGGTGGCAGACGTGATGATTGTCTTTGTCTATGAGACTTTTCTCAAGAACCTCTGCTAGTTATTTCTCTGACTATTAATACGCAGGTTACGATGATCTCGTCGCACTTGCGACGCTGACCTAAGACCCCTGAAGAGGGCTGGTAGGTGGCCCAGCCGAAACTAGTCGGGTCCACGCCATTGTTTTCATTGTTATATTTTACGTTAAACGTCACGTTCGGGTTTTGGTATCTGCATAATCTTCTTCTTCTTCTTCTTCTTCTTCTTCTTCTTCTTCTTCTTCTGCTTCTTCTTGTTACCGATCGTCGGAGTCGAATGTCGTGTTCGATGATTGATTGCCTTGCTTGAAGTTAGTGTGTTGAGTGCTGTTTATTGCTACTTCGGCCACATACATCTCACTATACAGTTACATAGAGCACTCATAGCCTTCGGGGAGATACAAAACACATGGCCCTATAGGCTCATGCAAACATACATAGCCTCTGGGCACATACACATACACACAACTACAATACTGGGCTTGGGGGGTCTATCAAGTATATGATGGGGTCTACTCACGCGTGGCTTAGCTCTAGGGTAGGGTATGGATATAAGTCGCTCCGGCTAGTCTGAGTTCCGCCTAGCCTTGGGTAAGCTAGGGGAAGGACGGTAGGATGTGTCTGCGGGCGCTGGCCTGCCTTACTTAGGTAATCCTGCTGGGTAGACTCTCTGAATTGGGCCTGTAAAAGATCGCATGAGCTTGGTGTCTGAAGTTCCCGTACGGCAAGGTTCGTTCGCTTCCGCTTCCATCAGGGCTGGGAGGTTGGCCCAGCCTTGGTGCTTGTCACTGCTGTCTGGTCCAAGTTGCCCTCCATACTGGTAGGGTGATGGTCCTGAGTGCTGGTCACACTGAGGTAGGATAGTAGGGACAGGGGGTGGCAGGTGGCCTATCCTGTCAGGACAACCCTTGGCTACCACTACCAGCAATCACTGCGGGTCTGGTCCTTGAAAAAAAAAAGTGCCAACGGACTGTGATAGTCCTCTGGATACCCCTGATCGGTATTTGCTGGGTCTATGACCAACACGGGTGTGAGTGTGAGCGCAAGTGGGTTGTGTGTGGTGTGTGGGAGAATGTTGGCCATAGCCTCTGCTGCTACTCGATGAGGGTTGGGGGACAATGAGAAAGGGAGGCGCAGCCACTGGCAAAATGCTCGGTCTTTGCGTTAGCCGGACCCCCACCGGCGGCCCCACCCCATCTCTGACTACCGCTGCTGGGGCGGGGCGCAACATGAATTACCTCGTTTGCGAGGCCCTTTGCTTGCAGGGGTCCCCTCTATATAGTCTTAGGAGTAGTGGTAGGAAGGTAGTGAAAGGCGAAAAAAAGAATTTGAGAGAAGAACATAGTGTAGTTAAAAAAAAAAAAGAAAAGCAAGCCTAGTCCATCGGGATTAGCATGTTGGCTGCCCGAGGATGATACGGACGAATCAAAAAGGCGACCAGGGCCCAAAAAAGCGCAGAAAGAGAAAAAGAGCGGGGCAAGCAATCTCACTCAAGCGCCACGTCACAACGCACCTCCCAGTCAGTACGGACAGCCGGGTCAGGGCGGGAAAACTGGATTTGAGATATCCGGGACATCGAATCGGAGCGCAGTTTTATGTGGTCTTCTATGCCACATAGACCGTGCGGACTTGCTGCGTTGGACCACAATGGATCTCCTCTGACCCGCCCGTACGAAGACATTGTACACGAACTATAAACGGACGCATATTCCTAGACGCTCAGGAGCAGTACATATCCCAAGAAGAGGACTACATGCACACACAAAATACACTATAGGCAGGCGCCTACCACCTTGGTGGACTCGGTGGACTCCATCGCCGCTTGGCTTCTGAAATGTTATGTTACTTTTCCCGTTTCATTTCCGATCTCTAGCGGCGGGCGCGGCACGCAGCATTTTCCTTTTTAAATTGGCGGGCTTTATTTGCCGCTACCCAGTAGGAGCAGTGTAGCAGCAGCGGTGGTGGGCGGCGAGAGGGGTTTTGCATTCCCTACCGTGGTAGCATTTTTCCGGATCGCGCCCGCGAAGGCAGGTCGAGACGCGCCCAACTTTTCGCTGGCAATTCACGGCCCCGCCCTCGGGTCCCCCGCCGCTGGGCGCCCTTCTGTTTTCTCTTTCGGAGAAAAGACTGCGCTCAATCTCGACTGGCCGGTGAGCGGAAGAGAGAGGGAGAGTGAGGAGCAGCAAATTGCGCTGTAGAGGGAGAGGAGGTCGTCTGTGGCCAGGTAGGCAGCTATGGCGTGCACCGTGGGAGCCGCGGCGGCGGCGTCGCTGGCGCCGTCCACGTGTTGTTCGTTGGCGTCGTCATCAACGAAGTCCTCGTCGTCGTCTTCCGAGCTTCGCTTCTCCGCCGTTGATATGGCGGCGCCGTCGTCCTTCTTTCGGTTTACTCCTGCTGCTGCTGGTAGCAAATGTTCTTCTTTTCCTCTTTCTTCTTCTTCTTTTCTGAAATTGAAAAAGAGTGACAAGAAGAAGAAGATGGGCGGCGGCTCCGCCTTCGGCCCTCGGGCGGCTACTGCGGCGCCCAAGGAGAGGGCAATTGAGGAGGAGACGATGGTAGAGGAAACACCCGCAACGCTGCTTCGGGAGAGTGAGCTTGAGAGAGGTGCGAACGGCGACGGCAAGAGCATGCGAGCGAGATTCGAGAGGATGGTGAGGGACGTGCAGGACAGTGTCTGCGCGGCGGTTGAGGAGGTAGACGGTGCGGCTAAGTTCAGAGAAGATGCCTGGACCAGACCGGGAGGAGGAGGAGGAATTTCCCGCGTGCTGGCGAATGGGGCGGTCTGGGAGAAGGCCGGCGTCAACGTGTCGGTCGTTTATGGCAAAATGCCGCCAGAGGCGTATCGGGCGGCGACCGGAGGGTCGCCGGGCCCCAGCGCTAAACCCATTCCTTTCTTTGCAGCCGGTGTGAGCTCAGTAAGTAATATGACTCCACCCATGGTAACTCCAACCATGGTAACTCCAACCATGGTAACTCCAACCATGGTAACTCCACCCAGGGTAAATCCACCCATTCCTTTCGTTGTGGCGGGTGTGAGCTGGGTAAGTTATAACTCCATAGCAAGGGGGGGAAAGGAAGCGGAAAAAGAAAAATCGTGCGATTTTCAACGCAGCGCACGTGCGCATCATAAGCCTAGTGGAGTCGGAAGTATTAGTCCACGAAATATTGTTTTTTTTTCAATATATATATATATATTCAGCCTCCTGATGAGTCGGTGAAACTCCGACGAAACAGTTTGTCACAGCCCTTGGTTTGTTGTCCTCTTCTCCCTCTAGGCCTACGGTCTACCGGGCAGCTCTGTTTGACGCTATATATATATTGTCACATGATATCAGAGCGCCTAAGCGAAAAAACCAAAAAAACAAAAAAATCTTAAATTCGTTTTTAATCTTCTTCCTTACATATATATATGTGACAATATGACGATATATATATGACGATCCCCTCGTTTGTTGTCCTCTTCTCTCTCTCTGCCTACGGCTTACCGGGCAGTTCTGTTTGTGACGATATATGACGATATATATATCTTTCAAACAGAGCTGCCCTTGACGATTATAGGATTATGAAACGGTTTGTCACAGCCCCTCGTTTGTTGTCCTGTTCTCCCTCTCTGCGGACGGTTTACCGGGCAGTTCTGTTTGACGATATATATATCGTCACAAAGATATCAGAGCGCAAAAGCGAAAAAAAACGAAAGGAAACAAAAAAGATATCAATATATTTTATTTTTATGTTCTTACTTGCGCAATTCCCCCTGTTCAGAACCTCTTGCGTACAAGGCTATACAGTATGTACACATGTATACCGTAACCGGGGTTAAGGTGGATTATCACTTTCAGCATCATCGGTTAGGGAACTCTGCAGACTGTAGAGGGTTCTGCCTCCGACTGGCGCAGCCCCTCGTTTGTTGCTCTCTTCTCCCTCTCTGTCTACGGTTTACCGGGCAATTCTGTTTGACGATAAAATCAAGCTACCGAAAATTAACCAATCAATGAACCAATTTGGTGCAATAGTATGCGAATCATTAAACAACTAATCAATCAAGCTTCTAATTTGACAATCAACCAATCAATCAATCAATCAATCTTCTAGTCTGCCAATCAATCTGATAACTTAACGCAATGCACGACATTGCGGTTATTTTAGTCAACGATGAATGTCGACATGATCGGGACTGATTGAAGTGACGAATTTGGTCAGGAAAACAGTGTTATGCACACTAAGGAGATCGTGAATGTGACCTTAGTTAGGGTCACATTCATTCAGTTTAGACACGGTGCGAGTAAAATGGACTCTTGACCAATAGTTAAGGGTCACATTCATTAAGTTTAAACACGGTGCGGCTAAAATGGCCTCTTACTTCATTGATATCGGTGTGGTCAGCGGCAGACGAGCATTTAACTATGGATTAATGCATGTCATGCATTGATGATCGAACCCTCCATCCTCTTCTCCTCCACGTCGCCTTTCTCTCTCTCTCTGTCTCCTCTCTCTCATTGTCATCTGGTTACAGTCTAGTTGTTCTCGTTGTCCTCCTCCTGCTCCTTGTCCTCTTTTCCTCCTTCTTGCTTACGGGTTATCACTGGCCATGCCGGCGCTTTTGCCGACTTCTTTTTTTGCCGCCTTGTGACAAAGAATTGAAAATGTATAGCCAATAAAAACAAAATAATAATAACTAATATAAATCAATGTTAAGTAAAAATAAAAAAAAATAGAAAAAAATAAAAAAAGATAGAAACAGAGTTGCCGGCGTTCGGGACGGGCCGAACGCCCGAACCCGAACGCCCGAACGTACGGGACCCCTTCGGAAGGCGTTCGGCCGTTCGGGCCGAACGTGGACAAAAAAAAAAAAAAAAAAAAAAAAAAAAAAAAAAAAAACGTTTTCAAAAAATTCCGAAATAAACATATGTTATGGAGAAAAATAAACTAAACAACATTTGCCTGAGCACTACATCCAAATTCTTTACCAGATTTGAATTAAAAATCAAATACAGAAAATAAACACTATAATAAAAATAAGGGAAAAAAAAAGAGAATTAAAATGAGTGAGTGTGCCAGCACCTTTTCAACACCGCCATCTTTGCCGATTTTTAATTATTTTTTGGCATTGACAAATGCCCTGAAAATTTACAGATACGTAGTGTACATAATCAATAACTCACTAAAAATTGTTCAAAAAATAATAATTTTTTTTAGGCCCCGAAATAAAGTGAAAACAAAAAGTTAAAAGTGAAAAAAAACAAAATAGTGATTGGGCGAGCACGTTTTGACACCCTCATCTTTGACGATTTTTAATGTTTGTTTGGCTTACCAGAATGGCTTCAAAATTAATAGGCGTGTAGGTTACATCATAGAGAACTCACAAAAGAAAATTCAGAAAAAAAAACTTATTTTTAGGCCCCGAAATGTTTTTTGGCGGGGGCCGAACCTGGAGGTGTTCGGCCCCCGAACGGGACCCCGAACGCCCGAACGTTCGGGGGCCAGCCCGGCCCCCCCCGAACGTTCGGTCAGGTAACCCTGGATATAAATATAAATATAAATAAATAAACTAGGCTATCAGAGTGGCCCAGGACCACGTGCCCGGCTGGGGGCAACAACAAGAAAAAAAATACAAATAAAATATTTCTTAGTTTAAATTTGGTAAAGAATTTCGATGTGACCCGGAGGCAAATCCAGCGGCCCAGCTCAGTTGGTAAGGCATGCAAGTGGCATATTGAGGTTGTCTTGGTAAGGCATGCAAATGGCATTGAGGTTGTCTTGGGCTCAATCCCCATTGGCCTCATGTATCTTCCTGGGCAAGCTTGGTGCCCGCCACCTGGAGCTAGGCCATTGGTTTCCCCGAGCGGCGTTGAGCAGTGACTGGGGACCGAAGGGGAGGCACAACGACTGGCCCATCGAAGAAGCTCGGTCCTCATGCTACCGCTGACCCCTGGCCGGTATCGCCCACCTGCAGGTCAGGCGCAGCCCCGGCATGTTCCCTCGTTGGAGGCTTGGACTCGGGCTGGCTGCGACGGGGTTCCCCGTAATACTATAATGATAAATAAAAAGGGCCTGAAAGGCCATCCTGTCCAGATTTGACAGGCAGTTGAAAAGTTGTACAGTTTATTTTTCTGCATCACCCGATCCGCCCGGCTGGTAGCCTAGCAAATAAATAAATAAATAGTTTTGTGTATTTCCCTGCTGCCGTTTTTAATAATGGGGGCTGTTTTGTTTTTCCGTGCAGGTCATGCATCCTTGGAATCCGTTTGCGCCGACAATGCACTTCAATTACCGCTATTTTGAGACAGAAGCTGTTGAAGGTCGGTGATCTCCCCATCNCCCAAAAGAAAAAAAAAACCCAAAAAAAAAGTGTTCCTGGTCCTTCGCGAGGCATCTGTAAAATCTGGAACTTGCACATGCAAGGATTACGTGAACGATGGAAAAAAAGGGAAAAAGAAAGGCTCCTTTTTTTAACAAGAGCGACGGCCTTGAGATAGCATTATCCAACTGACCGTTCTCATGTAAATTTAGAGTTGTTTTTCACTCATCTGCTTCCGTGTGGATTCGTACTTACGTCTGTTTATCAGCAGTTCATGGGTGCTCCCTTCAGCCACTTGCTGTCAGTACCAAGCAGCTATTGATCTTCATTTTCCTGTTTTTTGTTTTTTTGGTCGATTTTCGTTTTCGTTGTCAGCACTGAGTTTTTCCCCCCCCCCATGTTCAATGGAAAGAAAGCACCATCTTTTTCTTTCTTTTTTTTTTTTCTTTTTTTTTTTTTCCCCTTTTCCTGAGTGGTTTGCCCTTTCTACTTTTGTATTTATCTGATTGCAGCAGGGTTCGAATTCATGATCTCCCTGGTTCTCTGCTTACGTACCATTCAGCCACATGGACTGTGTACCTTTTTTCTTGTTTTTTCTCTCGATATTCTTTGCTCTGTCTTTCTCTCTCCGCTTTGTTTTTTTTTTTTTTTTAATGTTTTCTCGGTAACGCTCTACAATTATGGTGGTAGGCTAGTAGGAGTGCAACCATCTTCTCCTGAATAGAATGCACGGTCATTATAGCTGTATTTGGGGTGACATTCGGTCTAAATACAGCGATTATGACCGTGAGTCGTATTTTTGTGGGGGGGGGGAGGGTACGGTGCATGCACGGAATTTGGATGGCTTTTTTTTTTTTTTTTTCCCCTAAGTTCGGATGCACTCGATGATTACAGCTGCCAGGTTCCTAGCGTCTTCACCCGAATAGAGCGCCCGGTCATTATAGCTGTATTTGGGCCCACTTTCAATCTAGATACAGCAATAATGACCGAGCGTTCTATTCAGACGAAGGCGGTAGCCGTTAGTAGGTAGTTGTAGTATTAGCAGTCATCGTTCTCTGTGGTGTGGGTGTGGCTCTGCTCCCTTGTCCGCTTGTGCAAGCTAGCTCTTTTTTGTTTTTTGTTTTTTTTTTAAAGCTAGCTCTTTTTGTCTAAAGGGCTTAGGATACAAGAGCGGAAAAAAGAAGGGAAAAAAGAAGGGAAAAAAGAAGTGGGGGGGAAATGCTAATGTACCCAGGAGGGCTTCGAACTCTGTGTTCCTCGATTAAAGCATAATAACCAGGCGTTCTATTCTGCCGAAGGCGGTAGTCGTTATTACAGTATGAGTTGTGGTAGCTGCAGTCATCATTCTCTCTGGTATGGGTGTCCCTCGCTCCCTTGTCCGTTTGACTAAGCTAGCTCTTTGTCTGAAGGGATTAGGATACAAGATGTAATGAAAAAAAAAAGATAAAAAAAGGGAAAAAAAAGGAAAAAAAAGGAAAAAAAAGGAAAAAAAAGGGGAAAAAAGGAAGGAAAAGAAAAGAAGGGAAAAAAGGAAGAAAAAAGATACTAATGTGTCGAGGAGGGTTCAAATTCTATGTTTCATCAACCTGTATCTGGTCTTCAGTGGCGTGGCAGAAAGCAGTTGGTCGTGAGTGGACTCACCTTGCGTTGGGTTGCTGATTGTTTTGCTCAGGTGCGGATAGTGCACCTAAGGCTTGGTGGTTCGGTGGAGGCACGGACTTGACGCCCTCGTATCTCTTCGACGAAGATGTGAAGCACTTCCATCAGGTAAGGAGAATAAATAAATGATGAATAAAATTCTTGCGCTCTGTTCCCGTTAGTACGGGTGTACATGGACGGCGAACGTTGGTTCTCGCAGAGTGTTTTTTTTTTTTGTTTTTTGCAGGACACATCTGCTTTCGACTGTCCACATGTGGGCATGCCCAAGTAGTTAGTGGGTGGGCGTGTGCTTTTAAGTTGTCGTTTGTTTTATAAAAAACATCTCGAGGTGGACATTCATCAAACTGTGGTGTAAGAGTCCGGTCTGTAAGTGGGCATGGCTAATTCATTAACTGCAATAACTGCGCAAATTAGTTAACGTGCCGATTAGCCTAATTAATTAGCTATGTGCTTGTCCAAGTGGGCCTGTCCAATTAGTGAACGTGCCTAATTAGTTAATTACGTGCGTGTCGAAATGGGCATGTCCAATTAATGAAGGTGCCTAATTAGGTAAGTACTATGTGCTTGTCCAAGCGAGCAAGTCCAATTAATGGAGTTGCCTAATTAGGTGATTACTATGCGCTTGTCCAAGTGAGCATGTCCAATTAATGAGGGTGCCTGATTAGGTAACTACGTTCTTGTCCAAGTGAGCATGCCCCAATTAAATGAAGGTCCCTAAGTAGATAACTACGTGCTTGTCCAAGTGGGAATTGCTAATTAATAACTTAACTGCCCAAATCGCTTGTCTACCCAGGAGTGTGGACGTGTCCAAATTGTGCACGTGTGTGCAATAGTGCGCAGGTCCATGTACGCAGAGAATTTGCATGAATCTGGTCCGCATCAGAGCATGCGTGTTTGCGAGGCTTGCACAATAGTGCAGGCAGGAATACACGTGTCTGGCGTGGGCACGCGTACACGTGTCAGTGACTATAGCATTCGTATTATTTTTATATTTTTTCCTCTTTTTTTAAAAGAAGGGCGAAGGCCTTGAAATATCATCATCGAACTGACCGGCCCTAGATAATTCAGAATTGTAGTATTTTACTTTACTCATCTCCAACCTGTGGAGTTTGAACTCAGGTCTGTATTTCAACAGTTCAGGGATGTATCAACTGAGGCCAGTTGGTAGAATCCGTATTATGATGCTGTGCCACGTGTAAATTTCCTCTCGACGTGTGCATGTCGAATTGCACGCGTGTGGGTCCATGTGCATGCCGTGTGCATGTCGAATTGCACGTGTGTGGGTCCATGTGCATGCCGAATTGCACGTGTGTTTAACGTGATCTCCACGTGTGCATGCCGAATTGCATGTGTTCAGAAGTTGTCCCCACGTGTGCATGTCGAGTAGCACGCATGTCTGCAGTTGGCTTCAGTGTACATGTCGAATTGCGCGTGTGGTTAGAGTTGTCTCCACGTGTGCATGTTGAATTGCACGTGTTTAACGCCAGTGGAGGCCTGCACGTGTCAAGTGGAGAACATGTGGAGAACATGGAGCTTGCATGTGGAGTTGCATGTGTGTTTAAGAGTTGTCTCCACGTGTGCTTGTTGGGTTGCACGTGTTCAACGCCATTGTATTGCAGGCGTGCACGCGTTCTTGTGGTCTGCATCTGCATGCGATTCCCACGAGATTTGTCGAATTGTCCAGTTTACATGTCGAGTTGCATGTGTGTTTAGACTTGTCTCCACATGTGCATGTCCAGTTGCACGTGTTTAACGCCATTGTAGGCGTACATGTGTCCAGTGGAACATGCATGTGGGAGTTGAATTGCTGAATTCTCACCATGATGATGTGGTCTTCATTTGCGTGCGATTGCCACGGGAATCGAAGGGTAAGTTTCAAAAGTAGTGCGTCGCGGTAGTTTCACAGCAAAAATATTGTCCAGCTTGCATGTGATTGGAGGGGTGCATATGCTCGAGGCGAGCATGGGCGCACGCACGCGTATGCATGTCTTTGCGTTTGTGTTTGTGGCTCCTGTTGGTGTGTTTACAGATACACTTGTATGTGCGCAAGCGCGTCTGTTGTTGTTTGTTTGTTGTGTCCTTCTGGGTGTCTGTGTGCAGAATTCTGATTGTTGTTGCTGTTGACGTGCGCATACGGTGATCGCATGCGCAACCAGCGAGCTCAGAGCTTCATGTGTGTGTGCGATTGCACAATCGGCACGTGGATGGATGGTTGACGTGGACTCTGTAGTGTCCACGTGGACGTGTGTTACTGCACTGCTCTCACATCGGTGCATGTGCATGCATGCATGCGTGCATGATTTGGTCTACACGTACGTACTGCACTGCTCTCAGTTTGGTGCATGTGTACGTGCGTGTGCGCATGCATGCCTTGGTGCACACGTGCGTGCATGAATGGGAAATTGAGAATCCATTTCGTAACAAGTGTGTGCATATGTGCATGTGGTGCAATTCTGTGGGAGGGTTTGGATGGTTGAGGGAAAAAATCTGAGAAAGGAAAAAAACATCTATTTGCAATCTCACATCCGTTTCTGGGTATTGAATTATCCATTGCAGGTTCAGAAAGACGCGTGTGATAAGCACGACCCAGAGTTTTACCCACGTTTTAAGAAGTGGTGCGACGAGTATTTCCTTATCAAGGTCAGTGGTTTTGTTAGTTGTCCTTTTCGTCGAATATTTATTTGTTTTTTAACAATTAAATACCGTGTGGGAAGGAGACTGAGGGATTGGCTGAAAAGCGAGACTAAGGGCCTCAGCACACCACTCTCGAAATGTGAAAAAGACGGAAATGTGCCACGTGCATCTGGCCATGTTGTAGGGGGAAGTCCGTTCTCATTTTGCACATTTCGAGAGTGGTGTGGAGATGCCCTAATGGAGGCAAGTCTTGCCCATTTAGGGCAAAAGTTCTCCCTTGAACGGGTAACCTGCAGCGACGGACTTGCTGCCAAAAACTCTTCCCGCTGTGGGTCCGTTTCCTCTTGCCCATCACCGGCGGCTACGATTTCTGCCCTCCAGACTCGTTGAAGCCACCAAGCAACCGCCGTGCAGTGGGGTCCAGGCCTCCGTTACAAATAAAAGAAAAGAGAAGAGAGATGGTAATATCTGGAAGAAACTGCAAGGGAAGACCCGGCATATGACATTGTGTGTGTTTATCCTCGATCTACCTCTGCTCGCCCTCTTATTTTATTGCAATCTCCCCCTTTTTTTGGTACTCTTCTAGGTCCTTTGTTCTCTCCCTCTCCCCTTGTCTTCCTCTCTTCGTGATCCATGCTGTTTTCTCTCTCTCTCTCTCTCTCTCTCTCTCTCTCTCTCTCTCTCTCTCTCCTGTCTCTTATACACATCTAGATGTGTATAAGAGACAGTTAAAATATTTCATGAACTCATCTAGACTTTCAT